GCAGTCATTGATTAAGTTTTCATGGATTAAGGTTTCTGGTGGGTGGGGGACACCCCTCCCACATCTGACTTTGTGTATAAAAGACCTATTGTAATTCCCAATGAAACTCACATCGCTTCTTCACTAGACTGGAGTCCAGTCTCTTTCTTTCTCTCTCTCTTTCTCTCTTTCTTCTTTCCCCCAATCACCGATGCTGTCTCCACCTTTGGGGTACCCTGAACCCAGCTGAAGCTGGTCTCCGGCAGCCTGGGATGTTATCGTGCACTATTGTGGACTCTGTCAACACCTGACATTTAAGCTATGCTAAATTGATAAAAAAAATACATTTTTTTGCAGCCCAGGTGCGGTGGTTCACACCTATAATCCCACCACTTTGGGAGGCCGTGGTGAGAGAATTGCCTGAGCCCACACATTTGAGAACAGTCTGGGCAACTTGGTAAGCCCTCCTCTCTACAATAAATCAAAAAATTAGCCAGGCATGGTGCTGTGCACCAGTAGTTCCAGCTACTTGGAAGGCTGAGGCAGAAGGATCGCCGGAGCCCAGCAGTTCTAGGCTGTGGTGACCAGGAGTGTGCCACTGTACTCCAGTCTGGGTGACAGAGTGAGACTCCAACTCAAAAAAAAAAAGAACATACGGCCTTCTGGGTGCAGGGTTTCATGCCTCTAATCCTAGCACTTTGGGAGGTGGAGGCAGGAACATTGCTTGAGCCCAGGAGTTGAAGACCAGACCAGGAAACATGGTGAAACTTTGTCTCTACAAAAAAAGAAAAAAAAAAGAAAAAAAAAAATTTAACCAGGCGTGGTGGTGTGGGCCACCAGCAGACCTAGTTACTCAGGAGGTGGAGGTGAAAGGATTGCCTGAGCCGAGAAGGGCGAGGAGGTGGTGAGCTGTGATCATGCCACTGCACTCCAGCCTGGGTGACAGTGAGATCCTAACTCAAAATAAAAAAAAAAAGAAAGGAAGAAAAATAAAAATAAAAAATGGTTCAGGCCAGGTGCAGTGGCTCACGCCTATAATCCAAGCACTTTGGGAGGCCGAGGTGAGAGGATTTCTTGAGCCCAGGGGTTCAAGACCAGCCTGGGCAACTTGGTGAGACCTCATCTCTACAATAAATTAAAAAAATTAGCCAGCAGTGGAGGCATGCACCTGTAGTTCTAGCTACTTAGAAGTCTGAGGTGGAAGGATCACCTGAGCCCAGCAGGTCGAGACTGCGGTGGCTGTGAGTGTGCCACTGTACTCCAGCCTGGGCAACAGAGTAAGACTCTGACTCCAAAAAAAAAGAAAAAAAGAAAGAAAAAAACCAACATTTTTTTCAATAATAAGTTAACTTTAACTTAATGTAACTTTTAACTTTATAAACTTTAAAAAACGTTTTAACTCTTTTATAACACTTAACTGAAAACACAAACACATTGTACAGCTATGAAATATTTTTTCTTTATATCCTTATTCTATCACCTTTCCCCCTCTGTTTTTAAAATTGATTTTTTATTAAAAAGTTAAAAAAATTTTATTTTGGCTGAGCACAGGGTACTTTATTGATGGTACATGACAAGGTGCGGTTCCCTAGGTACTCCCTGATTCTTCAGGGGGTCTGGCACGGACTCTGTGAGGAGAGGAGATTCTCACCGTGGTCAGAGACTGTGTGTGACAGGGACTCCCCAGCAGCTGAGGGCCTCTCGTGTTCTTGCTGGGGCTGGTGGTTAGGGGCTCTTGCTGCCTTCCTTGGAGGCCATGTGGACCATGAGGTCCACCACCCTGTTGCTGTAGCCAAATTCATTGTCATATTAAGAGATGAGCTTGACAGAGTGGTCGTTGAGGCCTACGCCAGCCCCAGCATTGAAGGTGGACGAGTGGGTGTCACTGTTAAAGTCGGAGGACACAGCCTAGTACTTGGTTGTAGCCCAGGATGCCCTTGAGGGTGTCTTCGAATGCCTGCTACACCACTTTCTTGATGTCATCATAATTGGTGAGTTTCTCCAGATGGCAGATCAGGTCCACGATGGACACATTGGTGGTGGGCACATGGAAGACCATGCCTGTAAGTTTCCCATTCAGCTCATGGATGACCTCGCCCATGGCCATGGTCTTGGCCAGGGTTGATGTTCTGGAGAGCTCTGTAGCCGTCACACCATAGCTTCCCAGAGGGGCCATCCACGGTCTTCTGGGTGGCAGTGATGGCATGGACAGTGGTCATGAGTCCCTCCACAGTGCCAAAGTTGTTGTGGATGACCTTGGCTAGAAGGGCTAAGCAGTTGGTGGTGCAGGAGATGTTGCTGACAATTGTAAAGTTCTTCTGGTACTTTCTGCGGTTCATACCTATCACAAACATGGGTGCATCAGCAGAGGGGGCAGTGATGATGACCTTTTGGCTCCCTCCTGTAAGTGAGCCCCAGCGTTCTCCAAGGTAGTGAGGGCGCTGGTGGACTCCACTACATAATCAGTGCCCACATTGCCCCATTTGATTCTGGTGAGATCTCACCCATGGAAGATGGTGAAGGAATTTCCATTGATAACAAGCTTCCCATTCTTGGCCTTGATGGTGCTATGGAACTTGCCGTGGGTGGAGTTGTCCTGGAACGTATAGACCATGTAGTAGAGATCAATGAAGGGGTCATTGAGGGCGACAATATCTACTCTGCCAGAGTTGAAAGCAGCCCTGGTGACAAGGCACCCAATATGGCTAAATCCATTCACCTGGCCTTCACCTTCACCAAGGTGTCTTGGGGATGTGGCTGGTGCTGCACAAGAGATGCGGCTGTCTGTTGAACGGGAGGAGCAGAGAGCCTAAAATTTTTGTTTTTAAAAACTTTTTTTGTTGGCTGGACTTGGTGGCTCAGTCTGTAATCCCAGCACTTTGGGAGGCTGAGGCGAGTGGATTGCCTGAATCCGTGGATTTGAGACTAGCCCAGGCAATTTGGAGAAAACTTGTCTCTACTATAAATCAAAAATTAACTGGACGTGGTAGCGTGCATCTGTAGTTCCTACTACTTGAAAGGCTGAGGCGGAAAAATCACCTGAGTCCAGCAGGTCAATGCTGGAGTGGCTGTGAGTGTGCCACTGCACTCCAGCCTGGGCGACAGAGTGAGACTCTCACTCATAAAACAAAAACAAAAACAAAAACGCAAACTTTTTGGTGATAAAGACACACACATTGAGGTCTACACAGGGTCAGGATGATCAATATCAATGCCACTTCCACATCTCATCCCTCTGGGAGGTCTTCAGAGGCAGTACCCGAAAGCAGTTGTTATTCCCTACGATAATAATGCCTTCTTCTAGAATCCTTCCTGAAGGATTTGCCTGAGGCTGTTTTATGGTTGACTTTTTTTTTTTTTGAGTTGGAGTCTCACTCTGTTGCCCAGGCTGGAGTGTAGTGGCTTGCTCACAGCCACTGTAGCCTCGACCTGCTGGGCTCAGGCGATCCTTCCATTTCAACCTTCCAAGTAGCTGGAAGCACAGGCATGTACCACTATGCCCACTAATTTCTTTTTTGTTTTATTGTGGAGTTGAGGTCTCACCATGTTGCCCAGGCTGATCTTGAACCCGTGGACTCAGGCAATCCTCTCACCTTGAGCCACTTTGCCTGGCTTCTTTTTTTTAATAAATAAGTAGAAGGAGTGCATTCTAAAACTCAGATACAAAGTATGGTATAGGAAATACATAAACCAGTAACACAGTCATTTATCATAAACAAGTATAGAAAGGGAGGCAGGGCCTGGGCTACAGAGAAACACAGTGATTCCCATGGTGGAATCACCCTTTAGCACGAAGGCAGTGTCTCTGCGAGGGATAAGGACTCCCTGAAGATCAGGGGAGTGGCCGGAGGACTGGGTTTCCAGAAAGTCCTGACCAGCTCATGTGATTGATGAAATGATGGGGAGTGAGTCTCCTCACCGACAGCCAGAGCTTCGGGAGGTTCTTGTCCGGAGTGCACGGAGGTGGTAACAGTGTGAGAACTGAGGGACTGGAGAGGCGCTGCCTGGAACAGTGGTTCCTTTTGTGCCAGCCTTTCACTGCTCTCTAGTGGTCAGAACTAAAATATCAGAAACCTCTGTCTGGCCTGAGGGGGCGTGGGCAGGCAGAGGCATCAGCAGGAGAGGGTTTTGTTTTGCTTTGTTTCCTGCCTCTGGCTCTCTGTTTAGCTCCTGCTCTGGATCTTGCCTCTCTCTTGACCAGCATGAGACTCCCGTGTGTTTCCGGGAGGCACATCACAGGCTGTCCTAGCAAAGAGTTTTTCCTGCTGTCTAGCCTTAGTCTTTCTCGGTCCCTTCTGATCATCTTCTTTTTCATGCTGGGAAGGAGAGAGTCTTATGATTAGAACCCTCAGACATGCCTCCTTCTGAAGGCCGAGAGCAGGACAGAGGTACCGCTGAGTAGAGTAAGACTCAGACACAGGTGGAAGAAATTGTAACCCAAGGGCTAGGTAAACACCTCCACAGGCTCTGGGTGGGTCACTCAGTTGAGTGTCAACTTCATAAACATCTGCCTTCATGACTGATATGGACCTCTGGCTACCAGTGCAGCCATAGCAATCACTTTGCTCAGGGATCCAGAGCAATCCAAATTATTTTTATTTTTTGTAGAGACGACGAGGTCTCACTTTGTTGCTCAGGCTGGTCTTGAACTCCTGGACTCAAGTGATCCTCCTGCCTCGGCCTTCCAAAGTGCTGGGATTACAGGCATGAGCCACTGCACCAACCAGGGATCCAGAACAATCTAGAAGATGCCAAATGTTCCCTCCCAAAGGCAGCAATCCCTTCCATTCTACCTTGACCTAATAACCCAGCTCTGATTGTGAGTCCGGAGTCTGGAATAGGAGACAAGATATGGATTTATCCTGTTTAAATTCCAGCACTTTCTTCCAGGAAGCCTTTCTTCTTCGAGGTGCTGCATGGTGTCTGTTAGGCTGGTTTCAGTCCAGCCCCTTGAAGGTTGGGAGGGCCTGCGGTCTGTGAGTGAGCCGTCACCCTCCGGAGCCCCTTCAGGGTGAGCGGACCGGCCTCTTCACCGCATGCCGCAGGGCCCCTGCCACCTCCTTGTTCCTAAGGGTGTAGATGATGGGATTGAGCATGGGCGTGACGACCGTGTAGAAGAGACTGACGACACGGTCTGTGGTGGCAGAGGAGCCTGCCCGGGGCCGGATGTAAGTGATGCTGGCCGTTCCGAAGAAAAGCGAGACCACCAGCAGGTGGGAGGAACAGGTGGAGAAGACCTTGCGGCGGCTCTGGGTGGAGGCCATTGCCAGGAAGGCTCCCAGGATGCGGGCGTAAGAGGTGACAATCAGCGAGAAGGGGACCATGATGAAGACTGTGGTGGCCGTCATCACGGAGATCTCGCTCCTGTGCTTCCCCGCACTTGCCAGCCTCAGGACCGGCAGGATGTCGCAGAGGAAGTGAGGGATGATTGGGCGGCTGGGGAAAGACAGGCTGAAGATCAGGGAGGCGTGGGTGGTGGCTGTGACGATGCCCATGAGCCAGGAGGTGCCCACCATGGCCACGCAGGCCCGCCGGCTCATGAGGGAGGCGTAGCGCAGCGGCCGGCAGATGGCTGCGTAGCGGTCGTAGGCCATGGCCGTGAGCAGGCAGCACTCCGAGATGCCCAGGACGATGAAGACGAACATCTGGACTGCGCAGCCCTGAAAGGAGATGGCTCGGGGCTGCGGGGAGGCCAGATCGGCCAGGGTCCTGGGCACGATGTCGGTGGTGTAGAGGAGCTCCACCACGGACAGCTGGCGCAGGAAGAAGTACATGGGCGAGTGCAGGGCGGGGCTGGCCTGCGTGAGGAGGAGGATCAGGGCGTTGCCCAGCAAGGTGACCAGGTAGACCAGAAGCACCACCCAGAACAGGGGGCCCCGCAGGGCCCTGAGGTCTGAGAAGCCCAGGAGGAGGAATTCAGCTGGTGTAGTGGAGTTTGCCTCAGCCATTGCTCCAGGCTGGCACCTACGGCACAGCCAAGAAAGAGATTATGTAGACACAGTCAATGTTGCTGTAACTCAGCAAAGCATTTTCCATACGGTCCCTCTCAAAATCAAGTGAGAGAGTCAGTATCTTCTCTTTCTGAATGAGCCATGAGTTTCAGAGGGATTAAGTCCATGCCCGAGATAATAGCTGGGTTTCTTGACTCCAAACTTTATTCATTTTCCATGGTTCCCCAAGCTCTGGGCCTGGGTCCAGGGCCCGAGTCCCATGCTGGGGACTCCAGCTCTGCACTTGGGTGTCTCCCCAGAGTGAGGGGTGGAGTAGCTGCTCTGACTAGGCCCCTTGCACTCTCTAGACCAGGGGTCCCCAAACCCAGGGCCGTGGACCAGTACTGGTTGTTGGTCTGTTAAGGAACGGGGGCTGTACAGAGGGAGGTGAGAGGCGGGTGAACAGAGCTCCGTCTTCTGTCAGTTCAGCACTGGCATTAGATTTACATAGGAGCCTGAATCCTACTGGGAACTGCACATGAGAGGTTGTGCACTCCTTGTGAGAATCTAATGCCTGACGATCCCCCCATCTCCCTTTTCCTCCATGCCTCCCTCCCCTGTTCTCCTTCCCCCCTCCTTCTGTGGAAAAATTGTCTTCCACGAAACCGGTCCCATGCCAAGAAGGTTGGGGACTACTGCTCTAGACTGAAGCTGTGGCCAGAAGAGACTGGACAGTGCTAGTTGTGATGAGCTGTGTATTTAGAGTGTTACACGATGCTATGACTATTTGTGATAATACAGCCCAGGTGCGTCATGCTTTGGGATCTTGATGCCTGCCTGATTCCTCTGTTCTCTTCTTTTTTTTTTTGAGTTGGAGTCTCACTCTGTCACCCAGACTGGAGTGCAGTGGCCGCTCCCGGCCACCGCAGCCTCAACCTGTTGGGCTCCGGCAATCCTTCCGCCTCAGCCTTCCAAGTAGCTGGAACTACGGGCGTGCGCTACCATGCCTGGCTGACTTTTTGATTTATTGTGGAGATGAGGTCTCGCTGCCTACGCGGGTCTCGAACCCGTGGGCTCAGGCAGTCCGCTCACCTCAGCCTCCCAAAGGCGTGGGATTACAGGCTGAGCCATTGAGCCCGGCTCTGCTCTCTTCATATCTGGGCACCTGTGATCAGCTGCACCAGTTGGTCTGTCCCAGCATGGCCACAGTGTCCCCCTGCGAGAATATTTCTTTCCTTTTTTTTTTTTTGAGTTG